AGTCGCAGTTTAACACACTTCTCTCCCTTCTTTTTCAGCAGTTACCCACCCAAAACCCTACGCAGAGTCGCAGTCTAACACACTTCTCTGCTCCTCCATTTCAGGAGTTACTTAGTGAAAATCCTATAGTGACGGTGTCTGTCCCCCGACCATCGAAATTATTTAAAAAGGTAAACAGAAGAGGAGCTGTGCATAAAAACCTCATAAAAATTAAAACCACAAGAGTAATAGTGCAAACGAATAGGAGAGTTAAATGTGGACTCTTAAACATCAGATCTCTCTCTTCTAAAGGTGTACTAGTAAATGAACTAATATCAGATTATGATATTGATTTATTTGGTCTTACTGAAACCTGGCTGGGTGATGGAGAATATGTTAGCCTAAATGAATCCACCCCTCCCAGTCATATTAATACTCACATTCCTCGAGGCACAGGCCGAGGAGGTGGAGTTGCAGCTATCTTCGACTCTAGCCTAATAATCAGCTCTAAACCTAAACTAAACTATAACTCATTTGAAAGTGTTGTTCTTAGTCTTTCGCACCCAAGTTGGAAATCACTGCAACCAATTCTTTTTGTTATAGTGTACCGAGCACCTGGCCCGTACTCTGAATTCTTATCTGAATTTGCAGAGTTTTTGTCAACTTTAGTCCTTAAAACGGACAAAGTTATTATTGTAGGAGATTTTAATATTCATGTGGATGTTGAGAATGACAGCTTCAGTACTGCGTTTATCTCTTTGTTAGATTCCATCGGCTTTTCTCAGAGTGTTCATGAACCGACTCACTGTTTTAACCACACCCTCGACCTTGTTTTGGTGTATGGTATTGAAATTGAACATTTAGTGGTGTTCCCACAGAATCCCTCTTTATCCGACCACTGTTTGATAACTTTTGAGTTTGTATTGCTGAACTACGCGCCATTGGGCAAAAATTTCTATACAAGATGTCTGTCTGATAGTGCCATAGCTAAATTTAAGGATGCGATTCCATCAGCTCTAAATACATTATCTAGTCACAAAGTAACTGAGGACTCCTATGCTAATTTCAGTCCCTCCCAAATCGATCATCTTGTTGATAGTGCTGCAGGCTCGCTGCGAATGACACTCGACTCTGTAGCCCCTCTAAAAAAGAAAATACTAAAACAAAGACGGTTAGCTCCATGGTATAATACTGAAACTCGCAAATTAAAGCAAATATCACGGAAACTTTAGAGGAATTGGCGTTCCACCAAAGTGGAAAATTCTCGTTTAATTTGGCAAGATAGTCTTAAAACTTATAGGAAGGCCCTCCGTAATGCTAGAGCAGCGTACTACTCGTCATTAATAGAGGAAAATAGGAACAACCCCAGGTTTCTTTTCAGCACTGTAGCCAGGCTGACAGAGAGTCACAGCTCTATTGAGCCAAGTATTCCCATAGCTCTCAGTAGTTACGATTTCATGAGCTTCTTTAATGATAAAATTCTAGCTATTAGAGACAAAATTCACCAAGACCTGCCCTCAATTGGCACCGACTTATCTCTTAACTCAGGAACCTTAGAAACAGCTGTAGAACCAGATACATGTTTAGATTGTTTTGCTTCCCTCAATCTTTACCAACTAACTTCAATAATTTCTTCATCTAAACCATCAACCTGCCTCTTAGACCCCATCCCGACTAGGCTGCTTAAAGATGTTCTACCCTTAGTCAGCACCTCTATACTAGATATGATCAATCTATCTTTATCAACAGGCTATGTACCACAGTACTTTAAAGTAGCTGTAATTAAACCTCTTCTGAAAAAGCCCAAACTTGATCCGGATGTTTTATCAAACTATAGACCTATATCTAACCTTCCATTTCTCTCTAAGGTTCTGGAGAAAGCAGTTGCTAAACAGCTGTGTGACTTTCTACAGAGCAATAGTTTATTTGAGGATTTTCAGTCAGGATTTAGAGTTCATCATAGCACAGAGACAGCACTGGTGAAAATTACTAATGACCTCCTTATTGCATCAGACAAAGGACTTGTCTCTGTACTGGTTTTATTAGATCTTAGTGCTGCATTTGATACCATTGACCATCAGATCCTATTGCAGAGACTGGAATATTTCATTGGCATTAAAGGAACCGCTCTAAGCTGGTTTAAGTCCTATTTATCAGATCGATTTCAGTTTGTACATGTTAATGATGAGTCCTCCATGCACGCCAAAGTTACTCATGGAGTTCCTCAAGGATCTGTCCTTGGACCAATCCTCTTCACTTTATACATGCTTCCTTTAGGCAATATTATCAGGAAACATTCCATAAGCTTTCATTGTTATGCAGATGATACTCAGTTATATCTATCGATCAAGCCAGATAGCTTCTTTGCATTGGCTTCCAGTAAAATCCAGAATAGAATTTAAAATCATTCTTCTTACCTACAAAGCTCTTAATGGTCAGGCACCATCTTATCTTAAAGAGCTCATAGTACTTACTACCCCACCAGAGCACTGCGCTCCCAGAATGCAGGGTTACTTGTGGTTCCTAGAGTCTCCAAAAGTAGACTAGGAGCCAGAGCGCTCAGCTATCAAGCTCCTCTCCTCTGGAACCAGGTTCCAGTTTGGGTTCAGGAGGCAGACACCATCTCCACATTTAAGAGTAGGCTTAAGACTTTCCTCTTTGATAAAGCTTATAGTTAGGGCTGGCTCAGGTAGTCCTGAACCATCCCTTAGTTATGCTGCTATAGGCCTAGACTGCCGGGGGATTTCCCATGATGCACTGAGCTCCTCTCTCCTCTACTTTCTCTCCCTCTGTATGCAACCTTATCCCATTATTGCATGTTACTAACACAACTTCTCCCCTTTCTGGTAGTCTTGTGCTTTCTCGTCTCTCTCCTCTCTCCTCCTATCACTTCCTGCAGGTTTTCTGGCTCTGGAGCTGTGGAGTCTGGAGCTGTGGCTGCGGGTCACCTGCTGCCCCCGTGTTCCTGCTCGACACCCTCTGCTGCAACGACTATTGTTGCTAGTCTTATTGTTATTATTGTTATTATAATCATTAACATTACGATGGTTACCATTAACACTATTATAAATATCTGTACCATTTTTCATTTAGTCTATAGCAACATTACCTTCACTGTGTGTACCTCTGTGTGTATATTGTGTAGGCTGCCTCCCTCCCCTCTCTCTCTCTCTCTCTCTCTCTCTCTCTCACCCCAACCCCAACCGGTCGAGGCAGATGGCAGCCCACCCTGAGCCATGGTTCTGCTCGAGGTTTCTGCCTCTTAAAAGGAAGTTTTTCCTTGCCTCTGTCGCCTAGTGCTTGCTCTTGGTGGGAACTGTTGGGCTTCTGTAAATATCGTCACAGAGTATGGTCTAGACCTGCTCTTTTATGAAAAGCGCTGTGAGATAACTGTTGTTGTGATTTGGCGCTATATAAATAAAATTGAATTGAATTGAATATACTTTACACAAAAGTGTAAAATCCGATAAAATAACACTTAAAAACACAAATTAATTGCATTTGCTTATAAGTATTCATTAATTTTAGTAAAATGCTACAGGTGTTGAATAATAGGCCACATTATACAGTCCAACATAAATAAATAAATTTTCGGTTACATCGACCCTCTAGGTACGTCAGCCCACTGGGCATTTGCCCGTTTTGCCAGATTGCCAGTCCACCACTGCCCACTGTACATAAAAACGCACACAAGTCATTAAGTAAAACAGTTTGCCATCCCCTCTATAAAAGATGTGAGCCAGCTATTTATGAAAATGTTTCAAAAACATTCAGTGACATTGTTTATGGGTTTGCTCGGGTATGTAAATGTGTAAAATGATATGAATGAATGCATTCAACATGATTTATTCATAGTTACTCTATCACAATCACCCAAAAACATAAATTATAAAGGGCTATAGGTTATGGCTCTATGTTTAACAGCAGCTACTAGTTGTCAGATCATTGTCATTTTTTATTACCTGAATTGTTGCCATGAAGCAAAATTGGACAAGTGCTTTGTCCAGGATGTTACCGGAGAAGAGCCCTGTTGCTGGATCCAGTGTTCAATCCCTTCCTTTCTCAAATACTGTTGGATGTCTCTTATCAAAGCCTTCTCTGTACCCATGTCTGTGCATAAAAACCTGGGGAAACCGCCAGCCTGCTCTAATACTTCGACAAAGTAGCTTCCAATAACTTTTGGATCACTGTTTGTGTAGGCTGCTCTTAGCCATATAATCCTACGGAAAGCATCCATTAATGCATATACCATACGGCTTGAGTTTGTCTTAGCAATCTACATGCCATATGAAATTAGGCTCCTGTGAAAAGTACTGCCTTCGTCTAAGACATCGACTCTGGCGAGTTTGAGAATTGATTGGGTCCAGGCTCTGAGACAGAAGGATCCAAACACTTCACATACATCCACCAGTATCCCTAATGTTTTCCAGGGCCTTCCGGTTGACTACATATAAAGTCGACAGCATCTCCTAAATTATCATATTTCAGGCGATGTAATCTACAAAGTTTCAGCGTCTTCATTAACTGCCTTTTGCTGATGATAATACCATGCAAAGCAAGTGCATTCACACTCTCCATCTATAGCTCTTAGCTGGAGCTTATGGCTATGTGTGCCCTCTATGCTTTGAGGAAAAAGCTGCTCTATTGTGCTGACTCTTTTCATATACACTTATCTCGTGGCCATGAGCAGCCAAGAGCAGTATCATTTGAAACACTACTCACCAGGAACAACAATAGTGCTACTTCAAAATGTCAGCCACACTGGCAACCCAGCACACAGGACAAAATAAACAAAAACTACAACCACACGGCTGACTATGTTTATGTAGTCAGAGTTATCCTGAACTCAAATGTTTCAAGAATTATTTAACATTTTTCCAACATCAGACTTCTGAGAATATACTGAGATTTTTATGATTAACGTGCATACTTGTTCCAGATCTGGTCTCTGTGAATGTATGGTCAAGGGGTTTAGATTGGATTATAATTTAGTTACATAAAGCAGCTGCACAGGATTGGTGGCCTGAGCCGAGCATGCGCAGAGGGTTGCACCCAACAGCATAAACCATACGCGTGTTTACGGAATTTAAATTGAACGGTGAGTTTTTAAGGAGAGGAACAGGTTCTTGTGACTGAAGAGTAGAGGTGAGTTGTTTAATGCGTTTCTGTGTGCACGCGCACGTGTGTTTTAGTGGTAACAGGGTAGGCTATTTTCTCTGTGCACCTATTGAATTAGGAGGCAGAAACGAGGACTGCCGCGGCTTCTGCAGGAGTGGAAAACGGGCGTATTAAATATAGACTATCGCAAGTCCATACGGTGTTACCCTCATTACCCTCATTGTGATCACAGACAACACTGGTAGATGCTGGTACTTCACTTGGATATTTAGAGGCGACGCGTACAACACAATGCTATCGGGAACAAAATGTTCTGAATTTTAACAGCCTGCTCGAACATGCAGCTGCTGCTTATCCATAGCTCTTCATAGTTCCTTAGAAACGTACACAGTGCTGTCTTTAAACTATAATTACAAAATAAAGAAAAACATAGTGAGTTTTTTAACGTGTCTGGAAGTCTTTCAATTTGTCAGCGCGGTTTCAGACTGTGTTTCCCCTAGTAGACTTCTTTCTGTCCCGCTGGTTGTTGGTCGTTTTTGCGTTAATGAAAGACAAAGTGCGCACTCAGGGTTTTTTACAGCAGCGCTACTCTCGTTTTGTACCCGTGTCCCGTTTTAACATCCTTGTATTTTCAGCAAGTTATATGAAGGGATGTGCATATAAACTAAAGAATGAAGAGCCACAGTTTAGCACACATTATATTGAGCTCTTGTCATCAGAACATCATGTACCAAAAGTCTGTGTTTCAGTATCTGTCTTTTTGTCACTCTGTGTGTCAAAGACAAACTGACTCCTGAAACTTTCAAAATGCCCTCCTTCTCATTATATTATTAATAACAGTTCTGTGCAAGTTCCCAGTAGAAAGAGTCAGTTGTAAGTTGCAACCAGGATGTGAACAGGTCAAACTTGTCTGTTTTTTGAGTCTTCCGTGTAAACACAATGTAGATGCCACACAGAGCCAAACCTACTGTTATAGGTGGGCAATATAATCTCAGGAATTCAACAAAAAAATAAGAGTGTTGACTGGCAAATATAAGGGAAACGCATCTCATTAATTCATCTGATGTTGTACATTTTTTTTTAAAATTCTCACTGCTGCTTAGTGCAACTTGTGTCACTTAGAGGGGTGGTATCTTTATAAGCCTTTTCTTGGCTTCTAACCTCCCCTGCAGTGTTTTTCTTTGTATTAACTTTTATTGCTGTTTTTTACTAATGTGTGAATAAACTATAACCATTAACTTACTCTACTGAAAAGGATCTGCGATATATCATCATCAAGTTAATCTCAACCTCCCCCTTCTTGCAAAGCATAATGTCATCCCCCGTACGTACTGTGCACATCAGTCAAGGGTTAAAACCTGGAATCACTAAGGAAAGACTTTTACTACTTCAACAGTTGTGTATTGTATTTGTAGATTAACACTTAATTTAATGTCAGCAATGTATCTGAATAGTGCATAGTATATAAATGAGCGAGCACGTCACTGTGTCTAAATGGGCCTCTAACCTCAAAAGAGTTAAATTATTTCAGAGACATTTGGATGGGGTGATTGCCACAAATTCTCTTAAATCATATATATATATATATATATATATATATATATATATATATATATATATATATATATATATATATATATATATATATATATATATATATATATATATATATATATATATATATATATATATATATATATATATATATATATATATATATATATATATATATATATATATATGAACAAATCTGTAGTGTTAATCAAGTACTTCTTGCATTAGGCCCAGTGTGCCGTTTTTGCCTTTCTATTTTAACAACTGTAAGCAAGCAGATTTCCCCAATTCCAGCCTTAAACCCAATCTACACTTCTTACACTAGGGTTTGTGTGAAGTAAATTGTGTCATCTACCCTTGTCAGCTAGGCCGTACTGGTTATAAACATGTGGAAAAATCTATGATGAACCAAACATGCCGACAAACACGTTGCAACATACATATAACAGGCCCAATGAAAGACCTTTTTAAGAGAAAGCATTTGTGAAGTGTGTTATTCACTACTCCCTTCCCTCGAGGGAGAGCTGGGCCTGCTTTCACCAGAGTCATGCATGCATCTACACACAAACACAGTCAGCTGGGGCTCTGTCGAAAGAATTAATTAAGGTGCTGTCAATGTTTTAAGCCTGTTTAATTGTGTTACAATTGTATATTGTGTACACAGTACTGCTGTTGGCTTGCATGTATATAAGTGCCTGCTGCTGGGGGTATGGGTCTTAAATGAACTAAAATCATTATACATGTTACAAGCTGCTGTATATGAAATTATACAGGGGACAGGAGTGCAGTGTGTGATTGGTTTATCGGTTTTCAGACTCAGTCTCTAGGGAGTGGTTGGCTCTGACAACTGTGTCACATACACAGATTACCACAAGGCCACCATCCTTAAAGAAAGGTGGCCTTGTGGTAATCTGTGTGGGGAGGCTCAGCCAGTAACACATGTGCAGTTAGCCTGTGGGTGTGCTAACCTAGTGGTGGAGGAAGTACTCAGATTCTTTACTTTAGTAAAAGACCACACTGTAAAAATGCTTTGTCACAAGTAGTACTGCATCAGGAAATGTATTTAAATTAGTAAAAGTAAAAGCGTTCAGTGCAGTTTACCAGCCATTGCTATACGGATGACATACAGTTGTATGTCCCGATACCATTGATGTGTCCTGCCTCGTTGAAAATGAAAGATAATTAAAGCTGCAAGCAGCGTTGGGCGGGCCCTCGCACTTGTAGCGCGTCGGGGTGTGAGCCGGCCGCGTTGCATATTCTGGAGCTCTGCTGGTGCGTCTGTGAATTTGCTACGCGGTTCCGACGCCGCATGAAGGTGTTATGTCACTTCCTGTATCCCCTTTGTGGCGCAACATAGCACTTGGCGCTATGAATATAAATCAATATTGGCGTGTAGATATGTTCAGGGCAGGACAGTTATCAAGCACGTAAAGTTTGGTTCAGATGTGAGCATGTACACTGAAGTTACAACAACTTCCTGTGTCGTGGCGAAGACTTGATCTTTTTGACGCCACGCCACGGACACGCCCATTGACGAAAACTCGCAAATAGCACAACTTTTTATTGTCAATGTCTTTAGAAGGCACAGCAGAAATTTGACGTCGATCCGACTAAATCCCTAGGAGGAGTTCGTTAAAGTACGAAGTGTGTAAATCATCCAAAAATGGCCGTAAAATTCAAAATGGCCGACTTCCTGTTGACTTTAGGCTATGGGTTCTTGAGGCTTTTTTGTGCGTCTTGATATGATACATGTCCCCAGAAAATTTCGTGCATGTAGGTTGAACGTGAACGAGGGGCTAATTTTTTCCAATTTTCTAGGTGGCGCTAGCGAGTCATTTTGCAACGCCCATGTGCGAAACTTGTAGAATACGAAATTTTTCACCGGTTCGGACACGTTTGCAAATTTTGGTGAGTTTTCGAGAATGTTTAGGCCATGTCAGTTGAGCCTACTTTGCAGAAAAAAGAAAAAAATAAATAAAAAAATTAGCAAGCAGCGTTGGGCGGGCCCTCGCACTAGTAGCGCGTCCGCGCGTGAGCCGGCCGAGTTGCACATTCTGGAGCTCTGCCGGTGCGGCTGTGAATTTCCTACGCGGTTCCGACGCCGCATGAAGGTGCTATATGTCACTTCCTGTGTCCCCTACGTGGAGCTACATAGCACTTGCCGCTATGAATATAAATCGGTATTGGTGTGTAGATGTCTGCGGGGTGGGAGAGTTATCAAGCACGTAAAGTTTGTTTCAGATGTGAGCATGTACACTGAACAATAATGTACCCAAACAATAAAATAAATTCCTTTTATATTTCCCTGCCTTGTTGTTTATGTGTACATACAGAGGAAGAATGTGAGAACAGCACACATTTCATCGTTACTGTGTGTTAGAGCATGTGAGAACAGTGGATACTTTTAATACAGCCCACACCCCTAATACTGTGTAACTATAACAAGTAGAGAACAGAAGAAAAAGATGTTCTTTCTTTACAACTGTCTGCATAGCTTATTCATATTGTATAATGAATGAAAATAAATAGGCCTACTAGGCTCCTCTCTACTTTGACATTTAAGATTAGCTGGTTTGATCCACCTTCATACACATGTGACATTACTGTACAACTTGAGAAAGGTGAGTTGTTTTCTGCTCCAGCCTGCCTAAAAGAAAAGCGTTTTTGGGATTAAATGGACTTTTTTAGCTGCTGCAGTGCAGGATGAACTCAGAATAGACCCATTTCTCACCTTATTATTCTAAATCATGCAACGAAGAAGAAGAAATGCATAAGAAATCCTGGGACAAAATCTGTCCACAGCATGTAGTCTGATGAACAAGACTTGTGTTATAGCTGACTTGGGCAGTGAAATGTTTAATTTTTTTAATTCATGTGGTCATAGTTGTCCACAACTCAAGTCAGAATATAAGAAGAAATGTTTTATACCACCTCAAGAAGGCTTCCTATCAGAAAGTTAGGAAGGTATTTCAAATGTACAACTGCAGTACTTAATTCTAAGTAAAGTAATTTCCCTGACATTACAGTGTTACGCATGTAACAGGTTTTATACTTCCTGTGAGTATAATCCAATCAGTCTTATTTTCATACTGTATATCCGTTGTGTAATTTGATAAATTGTGTTGTATGTGGTGCTCGCATCGGGTACTACTGAGACTTCATTGCCCTCTTCAGAGAAGACTCTGACTGCAACATGCGTCTTTGTAAAGAGAGAAACGGACAGAAAAAGTCTCTAACTCTGCCTGTCAGCTCGCTCTGCTCCGTTAAAACTGAATTTACCATACAGAATTGAATACGAGTGCACTCCAGATTTAGCTGCAGCCAGCTGACCGTGTGCTTCTCTCTATACCGCAGTTCTGTGTCCATGCATGCAGCAAACTGAAAGCACTGTCTGTCGGAGCGTCTACATGAAAAGAGAAGGAAGACATTGCTGGTAGTATTGTCTTCAGAGTTGTTAAACACCTCAGTGCACT